TTTTATTATTTCATGAGCCTGTTTTTATAGATGAGCCCTGGGTTATTCTTCCTGTCAGTTCTGCTACAAGGAAACTTCTTTTTCCTCCGAAAGGGATGTATACACATTTTTAACCATATTGCTGAGTTAACCACTCAAGATAAACGCTGGAGGATTCCTAACGCTGGCGTCACTGTAGAGGAGTTGTTACACTGTAGCCTTTTAAAATGCAGTTTGCAAGTACAAATTCTGTTCTGCAGTTTTTAAGCCACTTCAAAAAGCCAAACTGGATACACAGATTAAAGCTCACACCTGCTTTTCATACCTGCTGACTTGTGCCAGTGACATGAGGCAAGATGCGTCTCATGTACCAGGCGACAAAAGCCTTTTTATTTTTTTTTAAAGTGACTAAATAATCTGATACTTTTGAAGTTCTCGACACTCAAGAAGAATTATGGCGCTTATTTAAGGGTTTGAATATGCAATTAAGCATCTAATTTTAAACCTGCACACTCAATAATATTGGACTTTGCTACAAAGTTACTTCCTTTTAATGGTATCTGCCAACTGCTGAAGTATGCATTAGTGCATTTGACATATTAATGCACTTTAGTAATGGAGGTACCTGATCAAGCAGCAGCCAAATGACCGCAAAATAGATGTCCGAGTTGAAATCAGAGACTGCCATAAACAACGGAAAACTGCTTCCCTTTATCATGTACTGAAATCCTTGTCTCTCATCTGACTTGAAAAATTGGACCCAGTTGGTGGAGCCCTTATGGTCGTAGGACCCAGCATCCCCTCTCATCGATTACCACATGCATTATTTTCTTGGGTCATCTTCCTCCCCTTTCTCAGGCTCATTTTTTACAGGTTTGTAGTACATTCCTGTAATTCTAATTAAGGATATTCTGACTTGCTCATAAATTAAAACCAAATACTTAGCTGTTACTAATACACTGCAGCCTACCTGGTTATGATGAGATTTAGACCTTTTCTGGCTGCAGAGTGGAGCTGTCTCCCTTGTTTTTGAGCTGATCTGAAGCAGTGAAGGTGGCTGTGTGCTGTCTGTGCACACTGAATTACAGTGGGCACTCCCCAGGTAGTGCAGTTGCTGATCTTTGCTTTACGGCGTTGCGTACCTATCACTCACTTGCCAGATTCTGTACACTGGATGCTCACTGAGATGACATTTGAATACAGTCCAGTTTTTCCCAGTGGGGAGGCTTGATACCAAATCAGTAGGAAAAGCAGCATTCTCGGCTCCAGCAGATACACAAGTGTCATCCAGTTTGTACTGATCTGTTGAACAGCAAAAGCGTAATGTAAGGGACAGTCAGAATATTATAAGACAGGCTTTTAACACGGCAGAAGCAATCTCGGTATTTAACATGCTGAGAAGACAAGCTAATCATGAAAGGCTTGTCTAGATGTCTGTATTCCTCTGACTCCTTAGGTATTTTGCAGATGCTGACAGCCAGTGTGAACTTTAAATCAATTTATTGCGTGTGTTTACATATGCAGCGAAACCATTTGCCATATCATTTAACTACACGCAGTGAATTGTTGACCATGAGCTGATCTGACCTTTTCAGGTCTAATCAAGAAATCTGAAATATTATTTTAGCCTGTCAGCTCCAGTAATATGCTGTAAGAGTATCTGGATCTAACTGAAAATGTCAAATGCACTCTAATATGCAACCCATCAAAGTTACGACGCAAGAACTGGTTAAGAATATCAATCTGGAACATCTGTGGTGCATCTCAATTGCCTGGGTGAATTGTTCTGCCATTGATACAAGCTAGCTAAAAGCATGCATTAAAAGCAATTCTTTGTTAAACATGTGAGATGTACAGCCATTTAAAAATATTTAAATGATCTTGAAAGAGGGCTGATAACACCAGGTTAGAATATTACTGGAAAAAACAGTGACCAATGTGAATACCAGTGCTCTAGTGAATGTCTTGCTTGCTTTGTTGTGTGGTAATGTAAGATAAATGGTCTCATGTAACCTCAGAATCTTTCTTTTTAATTTTAATAATTTGCTGCTTGTGAAGACTTCACTCTTTTGAGAAATAATTCATTATACAAGCTGAGGTGTCCTTATCAATCTTATTTGTGTTGAATTAAGTATTAAAAATTTTTCATAGTCTTGGGGGTTTTTTTGAAAAAAATCTACTATTTTTAAAAGTGTTCTAAAATCCAACACTGTTGGCAGCAGAGTGTTTAATGATGTTTAATTTCTTTGTTTGTCTCATCTGCCAAGTTTCTGTTCTTGAGGTATTTTACTGGATACTCAGATTTAGAATAAATGTGCTTTTAATAATTATTTATCAAGCAGAGACCAATTATTTATTGGTATCATTTCTGGAAGATGAGTTTAAATCTAGATTAAAGTGGATGGGCATTATGAAAAACAACTCTGTATCCCAATGAAATGGTATTTTGTTAGCTAAACAGTCTATCGAAGTTGTTTACTCTTAAAACACTTGTTACACTAAAATTGACTTGGTTTTTATCTGCTTATGGGTAGTTCGTGCAATTTGAGGTCCTATTAACTGAATTGCTACTGTTAGTAAAATGTTGCTGGAAGTAGAATTAAAATGAACTATTGGGAGCGTTGCTGAACCGATAACTTCACATGGAAAATAGTTTATATTTTAAAGAACCCAATAACGCTATTTGAACTGCTCTGATGAGGCAATGCTGCCCTCCCCTGGTATGCTGCGAAAAGCGGGCATTTTTATCACAGTCTGAGCAAGTTCTAGAGCTTCCTATTAAAGAGAAATTGCTGAATTGGTGAAAATGGTGGCAATAAAATAGGCTCTTAAACAGACTGTTATGTGCCAAAAGACCAAAAAAAGCCCCAAACAAACCATGAAACATTTGTGCAGTGCTTTTATGTACGCATGGTGCAGATGTGGATGAATACAAAAAATATGTGTGAATCTACTGTGAGCACACAAGAAAACAAACTGAGGGCTGAGTTAAGTTTGGGTGGCAGTTTGGAGGATGAATTGAAGACAAAATAAACAGATGGAAGGTAGTAACTGGAACAATTACAATAATTTTTTTTTACAGTATAGTTTTGTCTTGTAAGCATTAATGATAAACCTCTAAACATTATATACACATTCAGTTCTGCAGTAGAAAAGCAAATGGGACCAGGGCCAGCAGCTTGCATGGGAATAGAGTTAGTTCTTGTGCAAATGAAGCTGTAACAAAACCATCCTCTTCTGTCAGGGGCTGTTGATTACAAAGATATTACCATAGGATCAGGAAGTTCCTTCACTGCACATTCCTGAGAGCTGAGGAAGGTAGTCCTAAGAAAATATTACTATTGCATGGTCTATTCTTTCCTATGTATTTCCTCAGATATCTGTTACTAACCACTGCTAGAGATAGAATACTGGGGTAGAAGGTTCTTTAGATTGTCCAGCTAAGGCTGTTTTCTGTTAAATGTGTTGCAATTTGCTTTAATTTTGTTATCCTTCTATTTCTCATTGCTAGCCAATTTTACCACAGTCCAGATAGCAGAAAGATATAAGCCTTGTTTCAAATACAGACATTCTAGTTTCCTCACCTGACTCCATTAAAATGTGTGGAGCAGGGTTCATTTTTTGTGTTTGCCTGTTTTTAAGGTATAAAATATTCATTTCTTTTTATAATTGAGATTTTTCTAATTGCTGGACAACTTGCAAAACACACACCTTTTTTTCCTGAGGCATATGGCTTGACTTTGGTTTTGTTTGCTCCTCATTTCTCTTAATACTTTGGAGATCACCTAACAATAGAGAGAACTGGACAGAGCATGTTAAAACCCCTGGTTCATGCATTTCTTCATGTCTTAGGTGTGAACAGACTGCCAGATTGGGGATCAGGAGGGAGGTTTTTATCCCCAGACTGGTTTGCTAGAGGACTTTGCTTCAATGTGAGTTCTTGTCTACTACTTAGGGTCATGTTGCCTGGGAGATGTTTTAAGAACAGTGGGATACAATGGCATTCCCGACCTGCCTTGTTCTGCTGGAGTTACGGTTACGTGTTACAGTGGTGTTGATATTTTACTTCTACCTTTTATAGCAAGGTCCTCGGAGCTGGTTTGTGCCTGTGGTGCCTGTCACTCAACACTGCAGGTGTGGACCCTTTTGGAACTGGACTCCAACTAAGGAGTTACCCGTGTCTGTGGCAGATAGAACCTGAAGATCCCAGTGGACTTCAACAGGGTTTCTTTTGTTTCTACAGAGACTTTGCTGACAGCGAAATAATAGTGTTTACCTTCATGCACATCAGCTAGTAGGCTATAATAAGCAATTCTTTTGAGAACTAGCTGTAAAACCACTGCAGGTATGGTTCCATAATAGTTAGAGGTGAGCCAAATCCCTGAGATTAGCTCAGTGGGTTAGAGCATGGTGCTAATAACACCAAGGTCGTGAGCTTGATCCCCATCTGGGCTGTTCACTTAAGAGCTGGATGCGATGATCCTTGTGGGTCCATTCCAACTCAAAATACTGTGTGATTTTTTTTCCCTGTAGATAAATAGATTAGATGTCTTTTCCTTTGTGACACTCTGCCACAATAAAGAAGTTTTATATGTTCTTCTTTGTTAGATTAGTATTCTGTCAGTGTAGCATCCCAACCCAACCCATCAAACGGTTATGTGAATTGCAGTGGTGTCGCTCCTTGACCTGGAACAAATGTATGACGTCTAAGATGCCTAACAGTTTTCTTTTTTCTCCATAACTTTTGCAGGTATTGGGGTTGCTGGTGTGGACCCTGATTGCTGGAACAGAATACTTTCTATATCCAGCCTTTGGCTGGGTGATGTTTGTAGCTGTGTTTTACTGGGTTCTCACTGTCTTCTTTCTGATCATCTACATGACAATGACCTACACCAGGATCCCCCAGGTGCCATGGACCATGGTGGTAAATATACTCATTCTTTGTTGTTTCAGATTTGCTGAGTTACAAATAGAATAAAATATTGGTGCATTCTATGGGTATAGTTAACCAACTGTACTTGCGCTCTTTGCAGATTTTTCCCTGATTACTGTGTGGCTGTGTACCTGAGATGTTTAACCTTCATCATACCCAGACATTTTTAAAACACTTTTCCTATGATGTTTCACCATTTTGTTCAGTGGTTGATCTAGTGACTTGATTTTTAATAATGTGCATGTGGCTGATACTTATGCACAGTGACCTCTTTTTCTCTTTGTAGTGGTTACATCCCATGAAGAATGAGTCTGTTGCTGCCTCTGAGCTAACAGACCTGGCCATATGGCTTAAACAGCAGAAATCCCTACTGGAATCAACACTATGAATTAGATCTGGGACCTGAGCTCTCAAAACATGAGTCTTCCTCTGCTAAAGTAAAAGCAAAGGTGGTTCAGAGGTAGCAATAGTCTGATAATCCATACATAGTCAGCTGTGAAAAGGGTATTGAAAATTAGAATTATATATATGTAAAATATGTAGCACATAATCCTTTGCTTTTAGCTCAAGACTTAAAGCAAATCAGATAAACAGCTAATGTAATTACAGAAAAATTTCACAGGCACTTAAAATTCAGATCCAGTTTTTATGGTTTGAACAAACCTGGCTAGCTCTAACTCTCAACAGTATATTTTTACATCATTTGCATAACAGGCTGATCTTCAGGATAATAGATCCTAAAAGTCATTGTCATCTCAGCCAGCTGGCCATTTGTTACCCATCCAAGAAATGCTATAAGTCTTAGCTTTACATTTGTCAGATATAGTGAGATACTGTTCTGGTTTTATTTATTTGTTTGTTTGTTTTTTACTAGCTAGAGATTATTGACTACAATTCTGTTATTTTTATGATGAAATGTATTTGACTTCTGTGTTGCTAACAGCTTGTTATCGGCTATATTGTGTACGTGACTAAAATTGAATACTAGAATACTCTTTTAGTCTTCCCATTTGCTGCTGTAATAAATAGCCAGCTATAGCAATTACTAATAAGAACAACCAGGATTACATTCAGATAGCTTTTCTGTTTTCAAGTTTCATGGCCAGCAATTACCATTAAGGCTGTAACACTGCTATAGAAATGTTGGATTATTTCAATTACAGCAGTAATGTGTCTGGGTGCATTTAAAGGTGTGTGTGTCGGGGGGGAGTTTCCCATTGCATTAGATATAAGTAACATTCAAAGGGAAAACATCTTTGTATCCATTTGAATAAAGCTTTGGTCATTACCCCTCTTTCATCAGTTGGACCCTATTATTAGACAACTGCACATAAATGAGTTGACCCTGATCTGTGTGGAAGAAAAGCTGGAGTATTTGATTTGTTTCTGCTTCATATTGAGTGTATTTCTTGCTCCAAGTTATAAACATATTGTAGATAAGATCACATAATATCTGATACACACATAAAATGTAGGTGCTAAAGGTAGGCTCCTTTTATATTCAAGGGTAAAATAAAGAGGAATTAAATGCAAAATAAATAAAAGATGCTTGCATTCCAGCTTGTTTTACCGTAAGGTATTAAAAGAGCTGTTGGGAACAGCCTTTGAATTGTTCCTCTGTTGTTCCTGTCTGACCAAGAGGAATGCTGAGTTTCTTTTCAGAGAGGTGTTGTTAATGTCTTCATTCAAAAAAGTATGACACACATCTTTTTGAGTGAGTGAGTTTACATCCATCTTCACTCTATTCTCTGAAGTATCCCGAATTTCAGTATCAGCTAGTTATTGCTGTGCCTCCTTAGGCGACCGTTAGCTCAAACTGTTCCTATTGTATGCAGTATCCAAAATTACATCTGGACTTCTCTGTCATAAATTCACTTTTTGCAGGTTAAGCACATTACCAAATTGCTTAAGATGCAGTTACTTTTACTGCAAATTAACCCAAAGGATGTACTTTAAAACTGACTCTCCTTAATAGTGCAAGTTCTTTGCTAAAACAATCAATGGAAGCTTTTAAAATCTGGAAATTTGAATTTAAGAAGCAGATGGTAATTTTGCATGAACCATTTGGTTTGAGTAATATATTGGCAGTAAAGGCCCAATCAGCTTGCATCGCATTCCATCTTCCCCAACAGTGTTATTTCCCAGAGCAGCACTTCTCAGAAATTATGTTCTTTTTTCTTTTCTACATGACAAGATATTGCGGGGATTTGTAGCTTTCCAGGGTAATTGAGTCTTTTTGGAATGGGAAATCTGAAAATAACAACAACAAATACTCTAGGTAGTCAAATTTAGAGTTTCTAAATCAGTGCTTTACAGAAGTTCACCTGAATCTGCCAGTTGCTGGCACCTTCTCCTAAAACTGAGAGTTTGATATTTTATTGCTGTAATGCCCAGATAATACATGGAGTGAGATCTGTGGATAGAGATAATACCTTTTATTAGACCATCTGATATAGGTGAGATAAACCCCACCTATTTTTAAGTACGTGAATCAAACCTCAGGTGCCAGCCCTTGGACTCTCTCTGAGTTCTGAGGCACTGCCCACAGTTTCCTGCAGAAGGATGTGTAAGGGGCTCTTTACTACTGTTCCTTCTCATCCTGAGCTGCAGCTCTTTTTTAGGTTCTGCCAGAGTTGGTGACTAGTGAATTAAATAGAGAATAATTGGTGTATATTCCTAGCATCCACTGGGTCACCCCATGAAAATTAGTAAGTTGGAGATGCACCAGTATGGCAACATTTAGACAACTGGAGTGACAAGAGTTAAGGGTTATATTTGTGTGACACTCTGGAGTGCAAACAAGCCAGAAGCTGAAGGGAGCTGATTATATACAAAATTAGGATTGGGTCTGTATTTGAGCTTCCAGTTCCTGCAGCTGTAATTAGATGCAAAACATATCACAGGTATTTCACTTACACATGGCAACACTGAAGTAAAAGTTTATTTTATGGTCAGATTCATATGCCTTAGACAAAGTAACAGGGTGGGGCTTGGGGGGATTTTTTTTTTAAATAAGAATGAACTTCCTTTAACCATGACCAAATAGGGAGTAACTAAAGGACAAAGTATTAAAAATTATGTACTTTAAAAAAACCCTCATACACTTTTCTCTTTCATCTTCTTAGACTTCTCTCTTCCTTTCCTGTTCTCTGTCACATGTAAAAACCAAACAAACTTGTTGTTTGTTCTCTGAAGTGTTATATGAGATTAATGTTATCTGCTTTATTTCTTTCTCAGTAATGAACATAAGTACCTTGCGACATTAACTTTGCTCCTTGGAAGAGAAAACCCAACATCTGCCATGGAGGGGTCTCGATGACCCCTGTAATCCATTCAGACTGTTCTCCTTTTTGGTTTTACCTGTTTCTTTCTCCTCTCAAAATCAGGTAGAAGGGAAAGGTGGAAGAAGACAAACGAAGGAAAAAAAAAATCACCTTATTTATTGCCTTCATAAGGGGAGAAAACAGAGCTTTGGAAGCTTTATAAATAGTCTTCATATGCCACCCCTTATTGACTCCTACAATGTATCTTTGTGGAGATCAGAGATGTAAATAAAGTGCAGTTTTGTTTGGGTTTGGGGGTTTTGTTTGTTTGGTTTTTGGGTTTTTTCATGTAATGTCATATTCTTACTGCCTAACCCTTAGTTTGTGATAGCCAAACTGTGTTCTTATTTTCACTTTTGGAAAATCACAGCACACCAGCTTTAAGGCTTTTCTGGATTTAGCGCGATGGAGATAACAGTTTGTCCAAAATGTGCTTTAATGTTTATGGATCTTCAAAGCAGCTAAATTTTAATCTTTACAGATAGAAGCTTGGAAAAAGGTAAAAATAGCTAAGAATCACTCTTCTAGTGTACATTGCATATGTTCAGTGTATTTCAGAAGAGAGTTTTGTAATGTTGGAAGACAAATGCATGTGCATATTAATGACTTATGTTTGGTTTTTCCACAGGGTCTGTGTTTTAATGGAAGTGCCTTTGTTTTGTACCTCATTGCTGCCATTGTAGATGCATCTTCAGTTACCAAAGATCTGGACAGTCACAATTACAACAGCTGGGCAGCTTCTTCTGTGAGTTTGTTTTTTGTTTAAATCAGTTCTGTGTCCAATGAAGTTATATCAAATAAAGGCTCGCTGGAAGTGTGGGTAGAAATTGCATGTGTTCTGGATTTTGAGAAGCTGCAGAGTGATGTAGAAGGTCACACATAAAACCTATAGGTAGCTGGAATTTAGTTCATGGTTTTTGAAGGTGACTAGAAATTCCATCAGGAGATGACAGTCACATCAGAAAAGGTAGGAATGTTTTTAAGATCACACTAATTTTCCCTTCCCTGTCCCCATTTATAACTAACTCTCTGGCAGAGGTTAGAGCCTGCACGTCAGAGTAGACAAAGTTTGTGTGGGCACCAAGTCACCTCAATGCATTTGGACAACTTCAAAAGCAGTTTAAACTAACTCAGCTAACTTTGCACACACGTGGATAAGATGCATTCAGCTTTCCGTGGGCTGAGCAATATACACAGCACCTTTGGGAAGGCCCCGAAGTGCTATTGCTGTTTCTGGAGTGATCTTCCTGTTACAGCCTCAGCTTTTGATTAGTCTTTCTTCTGAGTTGCATGGGCAATGCCTGAAAAGTCAGGTAACTTCCCAGTGTTTTAAAGTGGATACAAAACAGAGAGGCAAAATGGATGAAAAACAACTTAAAAACAAAAACAAAAAACAAAACACGCACACGAAAAAAAGAGCCTTTTCATTTCTGAGTAGGTGAATGTATTAAGGGAATTGTAAAAGAACTTCCTGCATATTGTGGCAACAGTAGTCAAATTCCATTGTATACAGTAATTCCATATTATGGCTACTTTGCTGACTGTTTGTACTTCTGCAGTTTCCCTCCAGACTATTCACAAATCCTGTCTGAAGATTATTGTATGTGGTCATGAACACAGGAACTTGAACACCTGCTCTGTTTTTGTCTTGGGAATTGGGTGACTGTGCCCCTGTCATTTCAGTGGTGTTCAGGGCCTTCTCCCCTTGGCAGTTTGTAACTATTGATCTGTTACTCAGCCACTGCAGCTGAGAGGAGCTTGCTTGCTGCTAGATAGGCTTCCATGCTGATTCAGGTTTTATGCAAAGTGCACGAATGCTCAGTGTCTCCTGGGATGTTTGGATTCTCTTCTAATACCTCCTAATAATGTTTATCTAATGCAGTGTCTAAATAAACTATTAAATGTAGATTCTTCCTTTCCAAACCCATTAAGGGTTTCATGGATAAAGAATTTAGCAAATCATCTATCCCCAACAGTCATTCTGTTAGGACGATTTTAGATGGAGCTTTTATTTAATAAGAAACAAAATAACTGGAAAAGAAGAATGCTTAAGTTTTCTATTGTAATAAAATTTTACATCATCATTACCATTTTTCGTGCCACAGAATAAATTTCCATTAGATAAGACTCACATGTTGAAAGGCCTAGATTTATTGCCTGGGTGCATGCTTAGTAGTGCCCTTCTCTTAGAGCTGCAGTGTCTACCCACGCCAATGATGGCATACAAAAAAGGAAAAAGTATAGAATCATAAAACATTTTTAGTCTGGAAGGGAGTTCTGGATGTCATCTGCTCCAGCTCTTTCCCCTCCTAAAGAAGGGCTAGCTCATATCAGGCTGCCAGGGCCCTGTCCACTCAAGCTTTGAACATTTCCAAGGATGGCTATTCCACAATGCCTCTGGGCCTCAGTTACCATGCTTGATTATTCACACCGTGATTCTTGTGGTTTTTTTTTTTCCTAGTTTCTAATTTAAGTTTCCCATCTCGTAACTTGTGTTTGTTCCTTCTTATCCTGTCACTGCTCTCCTCTCAGAAAAGTGGTGTTAATCCTATTTGCAGTGACAGCTTTATTTGGTTCAGTTACCAGCACAAAACATTCTGGTATTATCATTAAGACCATATTGAACATTGTCTATTTTGAACAACGTGCAGTGATTAACAGGAACTTAAGCACTGGCGCTGAATTGGACTTTTATCAGTACAGCTGAAATAGTTCACAGCTGTGCTCTTTGGTTCCTGTGTGTCTGTGCTGGAAGGGCTGTAGAAGCAACACCACTGATACTTGGTAGTTTTAATCTAGAAACATAAATCTAGCCTGCTATAGAAGGCTTATTCTGTTTCCAGTTTCTGACAAAGTAGTAATATGACAATGTGGTTGCTGTCACTGTTATTGGCACTGAGGAATACCTTTATTCATCAGTGGAGGACCTCTGGAATTGGCAACCTAATCAGTAGTGCTCTTTGAGAACACATCAGGGCCTGAACTTGAATCCAAGTGCTCTCTGCAAACAAACCTGTTTTGATGCACAGTGTGCCACACTGAGGTACAGGTGGCTTGTAAGGAATTCCTGGAATAGCAGCAGGACAGGAGTGTTAGCTTGAGCTTGCACTGTCCCATGAACTATTCCTCAGGTTTTAAAAGCAGCAAGTATAGGAGTGGTGGCAGTTCATTCTGTAACATCCGTACTGAGGCAGTGTAATGTGGAGTTTACAGAAAAAGTTCAAATGTGCCATGTTTTATCTGCTTATAGGCCCATAATTCTATGCATAATATAAGCTTATTTACACAGTGCTGACTGTGATGGCCACACAAGTACAAGGAGGTGAACATGTTCCATATTAGTCAGCCTGCTATTTTCCTTGTTTCAAATGCCATAACTATTTTTTTTTCCTTAGAAATGACAGTGCTCTCAAATGTATTTTTTTTCCTGACATATTTTTCCTCCTTTCTCTACAGTTCTTTGCCTTCGTGGTTACCTCCTGCTATGCTGGAAATACATACTTTAGCCTTATATCCTGGCGATCACGGACTTTGCAGTAAATATTTTGTTACAATGAATTCTGTAATATAAAATACCTTGAGGATTATTCACTTTTTTGATAAAAGCTTGGAAGAGGGGTGAGGCATTTTTGAACATTTCTGTTAGAATTGACACAATATAAACTGAGATTGAATGATTATTTATAATAATGCCATCTTTAGAGACATCTAACACTGACTTTGTACTGTATAACAAAATTTCATACTGCTTCTTTTAAAATTAACATGGTATTTTTCTAGACATTGTATAGTTGTTATTACTGAACCTTTAATAAACCTTATTCAATGTGCCAAGTTCGTAAATGTAACTTTTTAAATGTTACAGGTATACTTTTGATAGTGAGTGCTACAAATCAAAGCTTAAGACTGATATTGTCTCATAATTATGTATAAAAAGTGTAATTGTGCAGAAGAAACCCATTTGAAACTTTAAAAATAAATAAAAAAATGACCCAACCGTGCATGTTTTGTAAACTGCGAGCAGAAGGTTGCTTTTTTTTTTAATTTCTTTTTCAGAGTACAACACATACTACTAAGAAATTCAGGTGATCCTGTCAGTTTGCATATTCTAACAGCTTCTCACATAATGAGGTTTGCTTTTGGAACCTGCTACTGTAGGTCTGAAGCTCGTTGAATGAATATTGTGCCTGAAACGCATTATCCTAACAGGTTTCTCAGATCCATCAGTCCCTTAGTGCTCAGTCCTTAAACAACTGAGAGTATCACAAATCACTGGCTAAAGGTAGTACTTTTTGTTTTTTCTCCTCAGATTAGGCTATTAATCTGTCCTAATTTAAATCTGGGCTTCTAAATCATACTAAATGACATAAAGATTAAATCCATAGAAGAATTGTCAAGACACCAGTGCTAGAAAAAAAGAAATTCCTCCCTCCATTCCTGTTTACTGGCATCATCTGTGACCTGTTAGTTTAACAAATGAAGTTGAGGCTCGCATTTAAATATCTTTGAATCAAGCAGAAGTATGACAGGAGATTATGACTTTCAAAACAGATACCTTTGAAAATTACTTTCAAATACAAATTACCTAAGGATTTTTTTTCCAGGAATTATGTGGAGACTGTAAGGTTGTGGTTATTTTGTGATATTATTTAAAGTTATCCTCATTTAGAACTACTGGTGAATCTTTTATTTTTGGATTAAAAAGATTTGGGCTGTCTTCCAGTTTTTAAAAACTTACTTGGATGATTATATATGGTAGTAGAGAAACCTTACTGCCAAAAAAAATCTTCTCTATTTCCCTTGTAACTAAATGGGGTGTGGTTACTTGCACATGTGCCTTGCAGAAGATTTATCAGCAGCCAGCTAATGCTGTTCTCGATCACATGGTTTTGTTGTTGATTGTCTGTTGGAGTCACAGGATTTCAGTGTAAGGGAAGCCAAAATATTATTTAAAAATCTATATTTGTCTGCAAATTGCATTTGGCCTGCACAACATAGGTCAGGCTGTCTGCTGCTCGCTAAAATTAACCAGTTGTGAGAAGGAAGAAGGGCTACCGACTATGCATTTTATCTAGACAGATAAAAGATGTCATTAAAATCCCATATTTTTTTTCCATTGCTGGAAAAAAAAATCAGAGGCATTGAATGTCAGCTGATAAAATGTGACTAGAAATATAGCCAGAATTAAAATCTCATCAGTGACTTCTCCTCAGTAAAAAATGCTTTAGTAGTAATAGAAATACTTCCTTAAATGATATTTGATGTACTTGTTTTAAGTCCAAAGGATGTGACTGTGTTTGCACAAGCATTTCACAGTTTTGTGGTATCTGTAATATTCTGGCCTGAAGTCAGAACCCAGACATCATTTGTGGACAGAAGTAGCAAGAGGGTGTAGAGCTAAGAGGAAGATCTAAGTTTCATCCAGTTTATCTAAACCTGTCATGGAAACTGTGTGTTACATGTCAGAATAAACCCGTTAATGAAGGACAAAACCAGATAAGGAATGATTCTGGCAAAATACCTACCTACTCTCTGAGTCTTCAGCACTGAACCTCAAGGGGAGATGTGTGAAATGACTTCCAAAGACAAATCTGTGAGTTGAATCCTTAATTCTGCATTTTAAAAATACGTACTAGACAAAAATTTGCTTTGTGCTTGGCCTTGCTTTTTTTTTCCCCCCAAACCGTAACTTACCTGCCTTGCTCTTTCCTTTTAGAAAGATAATTATCTCACTTACCATGCTCTTTCTCGTCTGTCTCATTTCTCATCTGTTGCCCAGATACCAACCTGTTTTTCAAGTGTTTTGAATATCTAGTTAAAATTGAAGGAATCAATCAAACAAACTGAGCATTCCTTCTGAAGTTTGCTCCTCCTGTTTCAGGCCTGAAGAAAGGCATAAGCATCCAAAAGGTTATCTTCCAGTGCATTAGTCCTAAATATTGATTTGCAAACTATGACTTCATGCATTTGTATGTTCTAATATTGATAAAGAAGACAAGCTAGCTGTGGTTTATCGTATAACAATTAAAACAACACTTGTATCTACGAGCATATGTTAGTACTCATAAGACTGAAAGAAACCTAAAAGAACAACTGGTAAGTGATGAAGTGGTTAGTGAAATTCTCAACACAGATATTTAGAAGAATAAACAAAATGCTAATCAACTTGCAAAATGAAGGTATTTGACATTATAAATAGCTTGTTTCAGACAGTCTCTCTGAAAACTCCTGAGTCACCTACATACATAAGGATACTCGATGTCAACTTACGGCCATTAATTTTCATTTGTTAAGGAGCTGTCAGTACCTTTTTTTCATCATCATGCACAACACACTTAACAATACGAAGTAAATAGCATGAGAACTATAATAAAAACTTCAAATGTAGTAGTGTTGTAGATTGATCTCGTCCCAGTGGTTCACAGAAGATGCCTGTATTGCTGAGTAGAAAATATGACTGTTATTCTACTTGTATTAATTTAAAGGTATTTCTGTTTCACTGGGCTGAACTCGAATTATCAGGGCCCCAGTCACATACATGGTTTCAAAAGAAATATAGAACTAAAGAAGCTGAATGAGCCTTTAAAAAAACCCTATTTCTTAATAGGAAATGCAGAATTTACGAGAACCTTCCTCCACAGTGCTTACAGAAACCTATAACCATGCACTCTTCTGAACAGGAACTGTAAAGGGGGGAGGGACGGGGAGGGGAAAAGGCAGCTGTTTAAAAACAGAACAAAATCTTTTTTCTTGGCAGCTAGCATTTTACTGTTGTGGAGGTAGCCAGTGTTGTAGATTTGATATCTCATGACATGAGAGAAAATGTAGCGGGACAAGTAATATCTTTTATTCCAACTACTAGCTGGCTTAATAGAAGTCCAAATTTATGTACTACTTAGTCTACTCTGGACTATTGCCCTGGCAAACCCCTCCTGGTCATGGAAATTGCTTATAGTAGCCCCTTATTTGCAGTGGGGATCATCTGAACTTGCCTGTCTTCCCTCCTAGAACAATTTTAGTCGCTGAAGGAGCTATTTAATACTAAATACGAACAGAATGTGCATCCTAACTCCAAAACAGAGCAGCAGAAGATGGGCTTACTGGTAAGTAGGCTTACTCCTACTTACTACTTTATAGTGAGTATAAAAGTGGCATATACCCAGCTCAGAGGCCCACTATTACCTCACTTGTCAGAAAGGAGAAGAAGTTATTTTTAAACCTGAGGAAATATTTAGCTTCCTTTTTTTCGTTTTATTAGTATCTCTGTAAGATTTAATTCAAACAGTGGAGCTGAGACACTTGGGCAGCAACAGGCAAAACTGTAATGACTGTCCATTTAATGCAAATAGCTTTTATCTTCTACAAGATCGGGAATCAGGAGGTTTGGGCTGTTCGTTTGAAAGAACAAACGCTGTTTGCAGCTGCACCTCCACAGCGAAGAACCGGAGTAGCTCCCTTCCATCGCTGACAAAGTTCGACATGCCGAGGGGGGTCTTTTAGGTTCCCAGGGAAGCTGCTCGCTGCTGCGGTGGCCGGTTCTCTGCGGAGCCTCCCCCCGGGACCCCGCGCTGTACCGCGAAGCGTCCCCCTTCCTGCCTGGAAACCTTCCCTTGTTTCCATGTAACCCCCTGCACTGGGGGCCCGCCGGCAGTGCCGCTCCGGAGCGGCGCGGGGGGAGCGTCCCTCTGTCTGCTCCTGATCACCGGGCTTCGTCCCGGACCCCTCGGGGCGGAAGGGGGGGGGGGGGGGCGGCAGCGTCTCCCCCGCGGGAAAGAAACCGCTGTGGGCACAAAACCCCCGCGGCTCCCCCTCGCCCTCCCCCGCCCCGCGGCCGCCCCGGGCGGGGAGCGCGGGCAGGCGGGGACGCGCCGCCTCCGCCCGGCCCTGGCAGCAGCCCCGGGGGCGCCGCCGTCCCGCCTCGTCCCGCCCCGCCCCGTCCCATCCCATCCCGTCCCGTTCCCCTGTCCCGGGACGGGCAGCGGCGAGAGGAGCTGGGGACGCAGCCATGTCTCACGGGGCACGGGTGATCCGCACCGGGGTGAGCAGCGGCGGCCCCGCGGCCCCGCCGGCCGTCACCGTCGCCTCCTCCTCGGCGGGCTCGGACTCGGAGCTCATGGACGGCGCCTATTTCCGCTCCTGCGCCGGCATGCTGAAGGTGGCCCAGATGGTAAGGGGCGAGCGGGGCTGGGGAGGCCCCCGGGGGGACTGTCGGGGCTCCTGTGGGGGCCCTCGGAGCCCTCCGCGGATACCGCGCTCATCCCTGTGGGACGGTTCTTGTGGCGGCGAGTCTGGAGAGCGTCGTCAGGGGGTGCTGGGGCCGCAGCTCGTTGAGGGTTTCATCGCTGCTACGTTGCCCCTCAGCTCTCGCAGTTCGCAGCATGACGGAAAGTTCTTGTTCCTCGGTCTGTCAGAAGCTGCCTTTGCGTCTTCCTGAAGCAGCGCCGAGCTCTTCTGTTCGTTCAGACGAACGTGCAGGGGCCCAGAGTAGCCAGTAATAACTTTTTGCCACTAATAACGATAACACAGTGATGCGACAGCACATCGTGCTGCAGTGCAACACCTCATTCCTTAGCATGGGTAAGTTTTCGGAAGGAAGCTGGGCCAAGTGCCTGTGCCGACGGGGATCTGGTAAGGGTGAGCACCACAGCTGGGACTGCTGCTCCAGCTGGCTCCGTGCCCTGTCTGTCAGAGATCTCCAGGCGGTGACCTAGTGACACGGGGAGGGATGTGGGAGATGTATGGCTGAAATTCAAAAGAAATCAATAGCAGAGTGCTGCCAGAATTTGAGCTGATGCCTTGACTTGACTTAGTACAGAAGATTTAGCTCCATGCAGATGTGGATTAACAGATGGATAAGCTCTTTCTCGTTTCTATAGCTCACAATTATCTGTGGAGAGATTTGTCTGCTTAATTACAGTACTGGCAGTCAATAATGCCTAGGAAAGAGCATGG